CTAAGTGACTTATGTAAGTTGTAAAAGGTTCGGTAGTGAATTAGGCCCAACCATCTCCAACATGGGCAGGAAATAAAATCAAAGAATCCCTCCAGTGCAGAAAGAAGCACTGACCCTCCGAACAGCATGTCATGTAGACTCTTCCCCCACTCCATCCCCATAACCCCGCATAGGTTTTCTTACCATGGCTAATCCACCCAACCTGCACATGCCTGGACACAATCAGGCAATTTTTAGCATGGGCAATCCACCTAACCTGCCCATCTTTGGAGCATGAGAGAAAAACCGCTCACCCAAAGAAACCCACACAGTCATGGGCAGAACATGCAAACCCCACACAAACAATCAAAGCTGCAGTCCTGGCACTGTGAGGCAGCAGTGCTAACTACTGGGCTTACGTGCTGCCCAAAATTGCCTAGTGAAACTTGAAATTGAATGAGGAGCCTTAATATCTTCAGGCTAATATGTTCCCAACTGAACTGTTTCAGCAACAACAGATACAGGAAGAATGAAGCTCCTTCTTTTTCCCCAGAATCAGTAGTTCTACTCAGTCCTCTCCTGCTAACAAATGGAAATGAAGATAATCAATTACTTTAAAAAGGTAATTAGATAAGCATTTAAGGGAAATAAACTTGCAAGGCTTTGGGGAGGGAGAAGAGAATTAGAGCATTGATGCAATAGGCAAAATTACTTCTCTGTGCCATAATCAATCTAAGACTGATTTCTGCAACTTCTGCTCATAATATAACTCTTGAGTCCAGGAATCATAAATCTGCGCTGTGACCCCAGGAAGGTCCAGTCTCTGCTTCCTCAGCTATGGTACCCAGAGAAATCCTCCAGGGCTGCTCTGTACACAATTTCAAATTTCTTGGAGCTTTTCCCGTCATGCTGAACTCAGAAACATTTTCACAGAGACACAATAAACAAACTTATATTGTACACGGTGGAAGGTCAATGATAGTGAGGTGTTTATAAATAGAAGGACTCTGTTAGCTCTTGCTATGATATCTGGTTGGAATTGATGATCTGGAAATGCTTCCCATTGAATGTGCTGTAAAAAAGAGTGGACAGAAAACAATTCTCCCATCTGTCCAGGGCACAATCCTACATCATGTGTGGCTGAGAAGGGCTCCTCACCAAACCTTGTCCTGTCCGACCACTTTTCTTTTTTCTTTTCTTTTTTTTTTCTTGTGAATCCTTGGAGCTCGGTCGTGCAGATGGCAGTATTAAAGGTTGGCCACAAGGAACAGGTCGCGATCAGCAACATCATGGCCTCATCAATGTCCAGAGCGGTGCCAGAGCTGGACTCTGCTGCAAGCTGCCTGACGCAGCAACGGATCATGGTAGTGGATTGGAGCCCAAAATGGGCTGGATGGCAATAGTGGCAGCAAAGGATGGCTGCAGTGTTGGTCACAGTCAAGGCCATTTGAGCGGCAGCGAGGCCTGGTGTGCCCAGTGAAGGGGAAAGCATGCTCTCTTGGGGAAGCCCATCTTGAACTGTCTGCAGGCCCATGTCTGAAGGAAGGATTGTAGTGTATGACTTTTGAACTTTGCAGGTATTTCTGTTTTTTTTACTTTTATGCTGAGAAGACTGTTGTGCTGGAGATTTTGTTATTTCTTTACTTTTCAACTTCTGTAGCTAAGAGTTTGTGCCTGGGTACTTAAGATACCACTGTGTCCACTTCTCACTGTCTGCTGTAACCTGTACCTGAGAACATATGACAATAAAACGTCAATCTGAAATAATATTCGGGCTCCACCGACCCTCCCACTAGCCCCGCCCCTCACTCACTCCCTCCCTCCCCTCACTCACTCCCTCCCTCCCATGGAGTTTGGAGGGCAAGCCCGCGGCCATTCAGTTCTAAGGAATGGTCACCGGACCCGAAACATTAACTCTGATTTTTTTCTTCACAGATGCTGCCAGACCGGCTGAGCTTTTCCAGCAACGCTGGTTTGTGTTTGCGTCCATTCCCTGGTCAGAGCGCCTGCCCCGCCCTCGTCCTCTAATTGGAGGATCGTGAGCGTCGGCGCCCGGCTAACCCCGCCCCTTTCTTGTTATTGTTTAGACAATTTTATCAATCAGGCGGTGGGTGTTGGAGCATGCGTATAGTGAATTGTGACTGAGCATGCGCGCCGCGAGCGATAGTCGAACAGAAACGTTTGCCTATTACATTCAGAGGCGATAAGTGAAGTTTAAAGGGAAGACCAACTTTCAGCGCATTGTCTGGAAAAAAAGGATTCATGGTTGCCCAGGTTAGGTCTCAAGCCCCACACATGGGTTTTTTGGTGCCGCGATATAAGTCGCCGAGACCCTCGGCTTCTTCCCAGAAACAAGGCCGCTCGAAACGGTCACCAGAGATAACAAGGGGTAGAGCTGGATGAACACAGCAGGCCAGGCAGTATCAAAGGAGCAGGAAAGCTGACGTTTCGGGCCTCGACCCAAAGTGTGGACAGAGTTTCTGATCAAGAACCAGCCTGCAATTAACTTCCAGGTCTTGCCACACAAACAAACGACAGCTTTATTCTTTTTAACACAAGCTGCTGCCCACAGCCCAGAGGTCACTGTTCAGCTCTCCGATTCGAAGCAAAAATGTTTCAGACAAGAAAATCAGCGGGTTCTAACACAGTCCAGAAAAGATTCAGTCAGGCATCCAACTGCTAAGACACCTGTGGGTTTACAGGGGTTTTCAGGAGTCGGATTCTGGTGGTGTTGCTGCTTTTTATCACATCCAGCTTCATACTGCACTTTTGCCGCAGTAAACCCACCGACCGGGAATAATCAAACACAACTGGAGACTTAGGAGCTGATTGGGGACGGAGGAGAGAGGAGCGGGGGAAGGCGAGAGGGAGATCAGGAAGCGGAGGCCCCACCCACTCACGTGAACATCAACACGCTAACTGCGCCTGTGCATTACCACTGCCCGCATTTGGGTTCTGCGAGCGGTGATGATGCGCAGGTGCGGTTAGCGTGTTGATGTTCATGTGAGTGGGCAGGGCTCCCGGTTCCTGATCTCCCTCTCTCCTCCGTCTCCAATGTCTCCATTAAAAGTTGCCATAGTCCCAGAAGACCATAAGACTTCTCTCTCACTTATGAGAAAGAGAGAACAAATGGTGCTTTAACCTGAGGGTCACTTGAGGGCAAAGGTCAAGGTTAAGATGGCAGGACCTTCATGGTGACCTCAGCCAGTTAAGGCATTGAGTACATGCTGTTGGCGTCACTCTGCATCGCAAACCAGCCAGCTAGCCAATTGAGGTAACCCACGTCTGGCCATTCAACAGTACTCAGTCGAGGATGGCCTGTGCTCCTTTTGGGTTTTTGAGTCATAGAGTCCTACCACACGGAGACGGGCCCTGCGGCCCAAACAGGTCCATGCCGACCAAAATGTCCATCCACGCTAACCCCATTTCCCTGCACTTGGCCCATATCCTTCCAAACATTTCCTATCCATGTATTCGTCCAAATGACTTTTAAATGTTTAAAAACAGACCACAAGATATAGGAGCTGAATGAGGCTATTCGGCCCATCGAGTCTGCTCCACTATTTGAGCGGGACTGATCTGTTTCTCAACCCCATTCTCTTGCCTTCTCCCATAACCGTTGATCCCCTTACCAATCAAGAATCTATTTCTCTCCGTCATAAATACACTCTGACTTGGCTTCCACAACCCTCGACAACAATGAGTTCCACAGAATCACCACCCACTGGCTTAAGAAATTCCTCCTCATCTCAGTTCTAAAGGGTCATCCCTTCACTGCAAGGCAGTACTCTCGGGTTCAAGTTTCTCCTGCTCGTCGAAAAATCGTCTCCATGTCCATCTATCCAGGCCTCTCAGTATTTTGTAAGTTTCAATCACGTTGAGTCAGACAGCACAGGAATAGATCCCTCGGTCCAACCAGTCCATGCTGACCATGTTCCTAAACTAAAGTAGTCCCACCTGCCTGCACTTGGCCCATATCTCTGCAAACATCTTATTCATGTACTTATCCAAATGTCTTTTAAACATTGTAAGAGTAACGGTAGCCGCATCCACCACTTCCTCTGGAAGTTCATTTCCACACAATAACCACTCTGTGCAAAATAAAAAGATGCTGCTCATGTACTTTTTTAAATCTTTCTCCTCTCACCCTAAAAGTATGCCCCCTAGTCTTGAAATACCCTACCCGAGGGAGAAATAACCTTCCATTCACCTTATCTACACCCCTCAGGATGTTATAAACCTCTATTAGGTCAACTTCAACCTCCTATGCTCCTGTAAAAGAACTCCCAGCCTATCCAGCCTCTCCTTATAACTTAATCCCTCTATTCCCAGCAACATCCTGATAAATCTTTTCTGAACCCTCTCCAGCTTAAATAATATCCTTCCTTTAACAGAGAATTGGACGCAGTACTCCAGAAGAGGCCTCACCAACATCTGAGACAATCGCACATGACGTACCAACTCCTGCACACAAAAGATCTGAGCAATGAAGGTAAGCATGCTAAATGCGTTCTTAACCACCCTGTCTACATGTGATGTAAATGCAAATATTAGATAACTGAACCCTGAAGTGTCTCTGTTCTACAGCACTACCTAAAGCCCTACTTTTAATTGTATAAGTCCTGTCCCCCTTGTTTTACCAAAATGAAATACCTAGCATTTATTCAAATTAAACTCTATCCGCCACTACTCAGACCCTAAACCCAATTGATCTCTTTGAAATCTTAGATAACCTTCTTCACTGCCCCCTATACCACCAATTTCGGTGTCATCACAAACTTACTAACCGTGCCTCCTAACTTCTCATCTAAATCATTTATATAAATGACAAACAAAAGTGGACTCAACACCAATCCCCGTGGAACACTGCTCGTCACAGGCCTCCAGTCCGAAAAACAACACTCCACCACCGCACTGTATCTTGTCACTTTGCAAATTTTGAATCCAATTTGCAAGCTCGTTCTGAAACCCGTGTGATCTAACTTTACTAATTAGTCTATCATGCGAATCTTGTCAAAGACTTTACTATAAAGTCCAAGTAAACAATGTCTACTGTTGTGGCCACATTAATCTTCTTTATTAGTTCATCAAAAAACTCAATCAAATTAGAGAGACACAATTTACCTCACATAAAACCACGCTGCCTCCCCTGATCACGCCTCTCCAAATGCTTTCTTTTAGAATCATCTCCAAAAATGTACACACCACCAAAGTCAGACTCATGGGTCAGTAGTTCACCAGCTTCTCCCTACGTCCCTTCTTAAAGTCATAACATTAGCCACTCTCCAGTCATCTAACACCTGACCTGTGTTATGGATGACTCAAATATTTCTGCTGGAAGCATAGCACTTTCCTCCCTTACTTCCCACAATGTCCTGGGATACACTGGATCAGGTACCGGAGATTTATCCACCTATGTATTTACTAAGACCTCCAGCACTTCCTCTCCTATTATGTATACTATTTTCAAAATATCAGTGTTTATTCCCTGGAGTTCTTTGGCCTCCTTCGGTCCAGCTCATCCATGCCGACCAAGTTTCCCAAACTGAATTAGTCCTACTTGCTTGCGTTTGGTCCATATCCCCCTCAACCTTTCCTATTCATGTACATGTCCCAGATGTCTGTTAAATGTTGTACGTGTACCTGCATCTACCACTTCCTCTGGCAGTTTATTCCACATGCAAACTACCCTCCGTTTGAAAAGGTTTCCGCTTGGTTCCATTTTAAATCTTTCTCCTCTAACCTTAAAAATATAATGTCTAGTTTTGGACTCCCCTATCCAAGGGTAAAGACCTTCGCTATTCACCTTATCTATACCTATCATGATTTTATAAACCTCCATACAGTCAACCCTCAACTGCCTACTCTCCAGTGAAAAGAGTCCCAGCCTATCCAGTCTCACTTCATAATTCAAACCCTCAAATCCTGGTGGCATATAGACTGTAAGTGTAGCATGAAACCACACAGAGTAGTAAGTCAATCGAGCTATGAGAAACAACGCTTAGTCTCCACTTCTTTGGCCCTTGGTCGAATAATTTGGCAACAGGAACTGTCCCATCTTATACACGGAGGGTGTGCATTTGGGCTAACTTTCTTCTCAGTAAAAACTGACGTGAAATATTCATTTAATATCTCTCCCATCTCCTGAGTTTCAGCACAAAGATGACCCCCTTGACCTTTAAGGTGTCCAGCCCCCTCTCTAGTTGCTCTCTTGCTCTATATGTACTTGGAGAATTTCTTTGGATTATCTTTAGTCTTGGCAGATCAGGTTATCTCATCTTCCCTCTCTAACTTCCTGATCTCCTCTTGCGACAGCCATGACACTCTTTATACTGTTCAAGAAATTCATTGAACTCGCTTGTCTATATGTAATATGATTTCTTTTTGTTCTTGACTAGAGCCTCAATATCTTTATTCATCTGTTGTTCTCTAATCATACCAGCGTTACTTTTCACTCTAATGTGAACATAATGGCTCTGAACTCTTATTATCACACTTTTGAAAGCCTCTCACTTAGGAGATGTCCGTTTACCTGTGAACGGACTACTCCAATCAACTTTTGAAAGTTCTTGTCTCATAACATTAAAATTTGCCTTACACCAGTTAAAAACTTAAATTTTCATGGAAGGCTTATCCTTTTCCATAACTCTTTTAAAAACTAATAGAATTTTGATCACGAGACCCAAAGCGTTCCCCTACTATCACTTCAGTCACTTGCCCTGCCTTATTACCCAAGAGAGGGTCAAGTTTTGCTCCTTCTCTAATAGGAACATTTACATGTTGATTAAGAAATTTTCTTGAACATATTTAACAAATTCTTCACCATTCAAACCTTTAACAAGATGGTCGTCCCAGTCAATGTTTGGAAAATTTAAATCGCCTATTATTACAAACTTATATTTATTTCTATCTGAGATGTCTCTACATATTTGTTCCTCGGTTTCCCTTTGAGGTGGCGGTGGGGTGGGGGTGGGTGGTGGTGCTATAATACTATCCCATCAAGGTGATCATTCCTGTCTTACTTCTAATTTCAAGCCATATATTTTCACTTGATTATCTTTTACAAATATTTTCTCCAGTTACAGCAGTAATGTTTTAATTCATCAAAAACACCACTACTCCTTCTGTTTTACCTCTCTTTCAATCCTTCCTATATCCCCGTCATACTTCTAAACTCCATTGAATACAGACCCAGAGTCCTCAACTGCTGTTTTTATGACCAGTTCTTCATCCTGGGATAATTTTTTGTAGAACTACTCTGGACTCCATCCAAGGCTAGCACATCCTTCCTTTGACACAGGGCCCAAAACTGGTCACAATATTCCAAACAAGTCTGACCAGAGCTGCTACAGCCTCAGCAGTACATCTCTGCTCTTGTATTCTAGGCACCTTGAAATAAATCTTAAAAAGACATTAGCCTTCCATCTGGCAGCTGAACCTGTATGTTAATCTTAACAGAATACCTAAACTAGGACTCCAAAGTCACTTTGTTCTTCAGATTTCTGAAGCCTTTCCCAATTTCAAAAATAGTGTCTGCCTTTATTGTTCCTACCAAAGTGCATAGCCTCACACTTTCCCACATTGTATTCCATCTGCCACTTCTTTGTCCATTCTCCTAGCCTGTTTAAATCCTTCTGCTGTCTCTCTACTGCCTCAACGTTACTTGTCCCTCCACTACCTTTGTGATATCTGTAAATGTAGCAACAGTGCCCTCAGTTCCTTTGTCGAGATCATTGATGCATAACATGAATAGTTGCGGTCCCAACACTGACCCCTGAGGATCTCATCAAGTTACTGGCTACCATCCTGCAAAAGACCCCTTTATCCTGATTCTCTGCCTTCAGCCAGTCAGCCAATTTTCTACCTTGCCACTAACACCATGCTCTTATCTTATTTAGCAGCCTGCTGTGCAGTACCTTGTCAAAGCTCTTCTGGAAATCCAAACCGATCACGTCCATTGGCTTTCCTTTGTCTAACTTGGTTGTTACTTCCTCAAAGAATTCTGACAGATTTCTCAGGCATGTCCTCCCCTTGATGAAACCGTGCTGACACTGCCCTATTTTACTGTGCACTTCCATGTACTCTGCAGTCTCATCCTTAATAATGGACTCTAAAACCTTACCAACAACTGAGGTCAGGCTACCCAGCCTATAGTTTCCTGCCTCTGCCTCCTTCCTTTCTTAAACGGGGGTGTTGAATTAGCCATTTCACAGTCATCTGGGATGCTCTGTGACTCCAATGATTGTTGAACAATCACCACCAATGCCTCTACGATCTCCTCAGCAATCTCCTTCAGAACGTTGGGGTGTAGTCCATCGGGTCTTGGTAATTTTTCCACCTTCAGATGTTTCAGTTTCCCCAACACCTTCTCAGTTGACCCTTTCTGGAAGTTCTGGTATGCTGCTGGTGTCTTCCACTGTGAAAACTGATGCAAAGTACCTGTTTTGTTCCTCTGCCATTTCTTTGTTCACTAATACTGCTTCTCCAGCCTTATTTTCCAGCAGTCCAATGTCCACTCTTGCCTCTCTGTAATCTTTTAGATATCTTAAGAACTCCTGCAGTCATCTTTTATAGTACGAGCTAGCTTACTCTCATATTTCATCTTATCCCCTCTTATTGCTTTTTAAACTATCCTCTACTGGTTTTTACAGGCTTCCCAATCCTCTGGCTTTCACGAATCTTCACCACATTGTATGCTTTCTCTTCTGCTTTTATTCTCTACCTGACTTTCCTTGTCATCCGTGGTTGCCTCATCCTCCCCCGACTATGTTTCTTCTTCGTTGGGATGAATGTCTGCAGTGTCTCTTGAATTATCCCAGAAGCTCCTGCCATTGCTGCTTCACTGACTTCCCTGCTTGGCTCCATCCTTCCAGTCAACTCTGGCCAGCTCCTCCCTCATGTTTTTGATGTTTCCTTTACTCAATTGTAATGCAGTTGCATCTGATTCCAGCTTTTCCCTCTCAAACAGCAGGGTCTGTTAAATTGTGGTTACTGCCCTCAGAGTTTCTTCAACTAGAACTCCCTAATCAAATCTTCCTCATTACACATCACTAAATCCAGAATTGCCTGTTCCTGAGTGAGATCTACCTCACGTTGCTCCAAAAAAAATCTCATAGACATTCCTCAAATTCCTTTATTTGAAATCTGCTGCAAATCTGATTTTCCCAGTCCTCCTGCATTTGAAGTCCCCCATGATTAATGCAATTGTGCCTTTCTTGCATGCCTTTTCTATCTCCTGATTCGTTTTCTTCCCCGCATCCTGACAATTGCAAGGAGGCTTATTCACGAGTTCCATCAACGTCTCTTTTCCTTTGTGGTTCCTTGACTCTACCCCCACAGATTCTTTGCCTTTTGAACCTATGCCACTTTTTGCTATCAACACAATTTCATTTCTTACTAACAAGGCAGCCCCACCTCCTCTGCCCAGCTGCCCATCTTTTCATAGGACTTGTATGCTTGGATATTTAGTTCTGAGCCCTCAACCCCATGCAGCCATATCTCTGTGATACCCACAACATTGTACAACCAATTTCAATCTGCACTACAAGCTCATTTACCATTTTTCATTTACTGCATGCATTTAAGTACAACACCCTCAGTCTTGCTATGACTGCCTCTCTTCTCATAGGTGTTCCCTTACTTGCTGTGCCTGAAGTTAGATTCCTGATCCTTTCCACAGTTTCTGTCCTATGATTTGTTCTGGAAACTTTAACATGAGCTACATCCACCCCCCGCCCCTTTGTCTTTTTCCATAACTTTCCGTGCAACTGAATGCCCCCACCCCACTACAATTAGTTTAAAGCTCTATCCACAGATCCTAGTTATGCGATTTGCCAGGACTCTGGTCCCAGCATGATTCAGGTGTAACTTGTCCCATCGGAATAGCTCTGTCCTTACCCAGTACTGCCACCAATGACCAGTGAATTGGAACCTGTTTCTCCCACACCAATGTTTGAGCCATGCATTTACCTCTCTAATCTTGCTGACTTTGTTAATTTGCTTCTAGCTCAGGTAGTAATCCAGACATTATTTCCTTTCTTGGTCTACTTTTTTAATTTACTCCCAGGCTGCTCGTACGCATTCATCTTTCTGCCCACCTCATTTGTACCTACATGGACCACACCAACTGACTTTTTTCCACCTCCCATCCCAAGTTCCTCTGCAGCCGCTGAGGTATCTTGAACATGGGCACAAGGTAGGCAGCACCGTTTTTGGAACTCTTGATCCTGGCCTAGAATAATGTCTCTTCCTCTGACTACACTACCCACATGCTGCCACCCCCCACCCCCCACCCCCCACTCCCACCCCGGATAGAACTACATTCCTCTTTCTTTTTTCTGCATCCCTACCCACCCTCTTGAATGGCCCCACGTACCATGGCACTGTGGGCAGTTTGCTCATCCTCCCTACAGCCCACACTCTTATCCACACAGGGAGCACAAAGTCTAGGGCTAAGACTTCTTCAACATCTCCTGCCTCCCCCTAGTCTCACTCGTAGTCATACCCTCCTACCCCTGATCATTGACTGAATTTGAAGTAGTTAATCTTAGGGGTGTGATTGCCTCCTGAAAGACAGGGTCCAGGTAAATGATGTTGCCACTCCCTGATATGTGGCAGTGTTTGGAGCTAAGAATCCAGCTTATCGACTCTAAGCCAGAGTTCCTCAAGCAACCAATGCTTACAGTGGATGTGGTAACTATGAACCACAGTGGGGCCCTGGCATTAAGTTAATTAATTCTTAGTTTGATTTTCAATATTTTGCACGAAAAGAACATCCGCCATTGGTGGGGAGATTAATTGAGCATACTCAAGGGGCCGGAATTGGGCAAGTGCAGATATCATGAAGGATTGTGTGGCTGGCAGAGACTACAGAGATGGGAATGATCACTATCACGGAGGGATTTCAAAGCAAGGATAGGAAATTTAAAATGTTTTTTTTTCTCAACTAGCAGACATTTTAGGTTAGTGAGCTCAGGGTGAGGAGAACAAGACTCAGTGTGAATTAGCACATGGGCAGCTAGAGTGTTGGATGAGCTCAAGATTACAGGGAGATTGAAAATGCGAGGTGGATCAGGAGTGTGTTCGTGTCACTTAGTCTCGAGGTTACAAAGAACTGGGTGAGATTTCAGCAAATGGAGCAGTGACTGTGCTGGAATTGGGCCATGTCACTGAAAGGGAGATAGAATGTCATTGGTGAGGATGTAGCTCTGTGGTTGAAAGCTTATCTCCGAGTCCGATACTTCACCAACATTGCAAAGAACCTGGTTCAGACAGTTATCAGAGCGAGCAATGCAGTTGGAGTTCGGAAGTTTGCAACAGGGATTTAGCCAGTAGCTATCAGTGAACAAAGGACCAAGAGTAGGCCATTCAGCTCCCCAAGCCTGTTCTGCTAATGAATGAAATCATGGCTGATCTGTGGCCTAACTCCATAAACCTGTCTGTGGACACCCGTGCTGATCATAAGTCTATCTATGTCAGATTTAAAACTAACAACTGAGTGATTGAACATCAACTGCCATTTTTGGAAGCAAGTTCCAACCTATGACATTTTGAGTGTAGAAGTGATTCCTAATATCTCTCTTGAACAGTCTTGCTCTAATTGGAAGGAGAGGCGATGGCCTAGTGGTACAATCGCTGGACTGTTAATCCAAAGACCCAGATAATGTCCTGGGGACATGGGTTCGAATCCTACCATGGCAGATGATGGAATTTGAATACAATAAATATCTGGAATTAACAGTTGATGGTCGGAAAAACCCATCTGGTTCACTAATGTCCTTTAGGGAAGGAAACTGCTATCCTGATCTGTTCAGGCCTACGTGTGACTCCAGACCCACAGCAATATGGTTGACTCTTAAGTGCCCTCTAGGCAATTAGGGATGGGCAATAAATGCTGCCTAGCCAGTGATGCCCTCATCCCGTGAATGAATAAAAACAAAATTCTCAGACTATGCTCCCTACTTCTGGATTGAATTGGAGGGTGCTTCAAGGTGATGATAGACACATACGCCTGCTCCCCTGGTCCTTCACAGTGGTGGAAGTGGCTAATTTGGGAGGTTTTGCTAATGACACACGATACATAGAGGCAAGTAGTGACTACTAGAGACTACAGAGGGATAGAGACAGATCGTGCAAGTCGACAAAAACTCAGTGGATGGAATATAATGTGGGAAAAATTGAGGTTTATGTACTTTTACGGGAAGACTAAGAGAGGTGGATATTAAATAACTGAAGAAAAAACAGTGCAGAAAGCTGCAGCACAGCGAGAATTGTGGGTCCTCATGCTTGAAAGACGAAAAGCTAGCACACAAGTTCAGCCAGTAATCAGAAAGGTAAATAGTCTGTTGGCCTTTATTTTAAAGGGAATGGGGTGTGAAAATAGAGAATATGCTAAAACTGTACAGGACACCTGGAATACTATGAATAGTTTTAGTCACCCAGAAAGGCAGTCCATAGAATATTCAGGGGACTGATCCCAGACATGGGGGGATTTTCTCAGTGGTTGAAAGGAAACCTCATTGAAAGATATAAGATTCTTAGGGTCTTTGACAGGATAGATTCAAAGAGATTGTTCCTCCCTGTTTGAGTGTGTAAGAGCAGAGGATATAATCTCACAGTCAAGAGTCACAGTATGTCAGACTGAGATGAGGAATTTCTTCTCTCTGGGGGAGGGGTACAAGTTACTGAATTTGTGGAATTCCTTCCTGCAGAGGCTGGGCTGCTCAGTGTATTCTAGGCTGAGATTAAAAAAAAAAAGATTTTTAATCGCTAAATGAAACAAAGGTTGGGGGTAAGGCAGGAAAGTGGAGTTGAGGATTATCAGATCAATCCTGATCTCATTGAATGGCAAAAGCATACTTGCTGGGTTGAATTACCTACTTCTGCTCCATATCTTCTGATCTTACTTTTTTTGATTTTTTTGGTTTCTCTCTCAATCCCGTTTTTTTTCTATTTTTAACCAATTTCACAGGATATTGGAAGAGGAAGATTTACAGTGGGGGGACTTGAAATCAAACATCACTTCAGGATCTGATGGAGTCACCCAGTTTATCGTAACGCGAATATCATTTGATTTTGAAAATGGAAGGGAAAAACACCATTCGCAGCGGGGAGAAACTGTACACGTGTTGTATGTGTGGACAAGGCTTCAGCAGATCATCTGCCCTGTTTCAGCATGAATACAGTCACACTGGGGAGAGGCCATTCGTCTGTTCTGACTGTGGGAAAGGATTCACGCAAACATCCACCCTGCTGAAACCCCAGCAAGTTCACACAGATAGCAGACTGTTTAAATGCTCAGACTGTGGGACGTGCTACAAAAGCTCTGGCGCCCTGAAGCTGCATCAACGTGTTCACACTGACAAGAGACCGTTCAGGTGCTCCCACTGTGGGACTGGGTTCAGGCGGTCATTCCAACTCACTGTACACCAGCGAACGCACACTGGGGAGAGGCCATATACCTGCACTGAGTGTGGGAAGGGATTTGCTCAGAAATCCAACCTGCTTAAACACCAGCAACTTCACACAGAGGAGAGACCTTTTCAATGCCCAGAATGTGAGAAGTGTTTTAAAAGGTCTGGGGACCTGATGTCACATCAACGTGTTCATAGTGATGAGAAACCGTTCAAGTGCTCTCACTGTGGGGCTGGGTTCAAGTGGTCAACCCAACTCACTGCCTACCAGCGATCTCACACAAGAGAGAGGCCGTACACCTGCACTGACTGTGGGAAGGGATTCACTGTGAAATCCAGCCTGCTAAAACACCAGCGAGTTCATGAGCATTGACAGTGACTGGCTTCCTCGTGTTCCTCCCTCTCTGCCAGAACGTCTGAATGACCATGAAATAAATCCACGTTTTAAAATCTCTCATGTATGTTAGTACTCTTTGAAGTGAGCTATTTTTGACTGCAGGAGTTTCGTTTTGTTGTTAATCGCATCCAGGACACAACTATGTTCAATGGGGTCTTTTTCTGCTGATCTTTATAAATTCCAGCCTGTTATAACTGTTAATGAAGGGACAAAAAGACAATTATGTCACGTTTGTGGGAAACACATGGCCTGCTGAAACTTCCTAAAGGCTTTAGCACTTTCTTTAGAAGAATTTGCCCTTCCTATCACCTCCATCTTTTGAGGAGCTCATGGAGCTTCTTTGTCATTCAGATTGAGACAGTCTGATTATCTGTCTCTTCCATGTCCCTCCTTTCCCTGAAACCTTCTGTGAAGTTCCACCTTGTCTAAGCCATCTCCTGGCTCCAGGGCTCTTCATGTCCATGAGACCCACCACCTAGTCCCTCGACTCTCTTTCCAGTTAATTACTGAGCATCCAATCTTCACCTTTTCTTTTGTCAGTCGCTCTTAAAAGAGACGGTCCTACTTGGAGCTGGTGTACGTGGTGACCACTTTGGTGCCCTCAAAGACCAATTTTAGCCAGCTCCCTGGGCAGCCGCAGGCACATGGTGCTCGAGATTGCTCAGGAGAACAGGGTCTGCCGCTGGGTGTAGTGGAACAAGCGGGAGGCCTCGGGGAGATGCCGGTTTGCTGATATTGTTAACAGTTCTTGCTTTTGTCTGTTATAGTCACGCTCATCTCTGAATCCTTCTTTTAAAAACCAACCTCGACCTCCCCTCCAAATTCCCTTTTCTTCCCAAAGATCTGTAACTTGTTCCCCCCAAGGATGTAACCCTGGCTGCTCGTTTTTGCATCTTGGTGACATCATCCAAAGCCACTGTGTTGGTTTTTACATATCCACTGACAGAGATTACTACCTGAATGTCTGTAAACTGGGAGAGGGGAGTGTGCAGCGGGACCTGGGTGTCCAGTTACTGAAGGTAAGCAGGCAGGTGCAACAGGCGGTAAAGAAGGCAAATGGTATGTTGGCCATCATTGCAAGAGGTTTCAAGTACAGGAGCACGGATGTATTATTGCAGTTACACAGAGCCTTGGTGAGGTTACACTTAGAACATTGTGTACAGTTTTGGTCACCCTTTCTGAGGAAGGATGCTCTTGCTCTCGAGGGAGTGCAGTGAAGGTTTTTCAGGCTGATTCCGAGGATGGCAGGACTGACGCATGAGCAGAGATTGACGAGGCTGGGATTGTTTTCGCCGGAGTTCAGACAAATGAGGGGGATCTCATTGAGACATTTAAAATTCTAACAGGACCAGGCAGGGTCGATGCAGCGAGGGTGTTTCAATGGTTGGTGTGACCGGAACCAGGGCCAACAGTCCAAGGATTCAGGGTAGACCATTTAGGATGCAGATGAGGATACATTTCTTCACCCGAAGAGTGATGAGCCTGAGGACTTCATTACGACTGGAAGTTGATGCCAAAACATTGAATGTATTCAAGAGGTGACTAGATATAGTACTTGGGGCAAATGGTATCAAAGGTTATGGGGAGAAAGCAGGATTAGGCTATTGAGTTGGGCGATCAGCCATGATCATAATGGTGGAGCAGACTCAAGGGGCCGAATGGCCTCCTCCCGTTCCTATCTTCTACATTTCTATGTTTCTATGAACCTTTTAGATATTCATCATTCTGAAGTATTTTGCAGGTGATTGAAACATTAAATAAAGAAGTCTATTTTATCTTACATTTCTTAAACAAGATTAGGAAGGATTAAGGTGGGAATTCCAGAGCTTGTGGCCTCAGCAGCTGAAAACATAGGTACCAATGGTGAATGTGGCGTTTGCGAGAGTGATTTGAAAAGCGTATGTGGCAAATGTAATTGGAGGAGTGCAAGGAGCTCATTGGGTCTTAACAATGGAGGAGGTTCCAGAGACTTTCTGTTACAGCTGTGGAACTGTCTGTTGAAAAGGTGTCTGCTGCCTTAAACAGGATAACAGATACTGTGTCCATGCCCTTACAAAACATCACTGATCTCCACCAAACTGATCTGCAGGAGAGTGGGGACAATGAGGTGACTCTGCTCCAGGGGAGGAGTGATGGAGGACACAGGGATCATAGCTTTTTCCCACTACCAAACCAATTGAGTATAAAAACATTACTTCCATCTCCCACCACAGCATCCTGACTTGTGATAGTGGTGACTGGCCATCTGAAGGTAGAGGTGGAATGTCTTTATGGGAACCGTCAGGAGCTGTGACACTCTTAGTGGAGACCAAAAACATCCGTGCATGAGAGCCAAGGATTGAGTGACCTGTCTGTACTTGTTCTGAAACCTAGACGGTGCACCTGGTAGAAGCAATAGGAAGCATCTGGACTATAAATTGGAATCAACCAAGTGCGTACATGATGGGATTGACAAAATCTTCCATTTCCTCTTTAAATAGAGATACAAAATGCAAACATTGGCACCACTACCAGCCCTTGGCCATTCTAATATCTTGACAGTCAGATTGCCCTTTCACTGGTTTAATACTGTAATTTTATTATGTCATCAACAAGATTTTTATTTCTTCTCTCTTGGGACCTGGGTCTCACTGGCTGGTCAGCATTTATTGCTTATCCCAAATTGCTCTTGAGAATGTGGTGGTGAGTTGCCTTCTTAAACTACTGCAGTCCATGTGCTACCGGCTGACCTACAATGCTGTTAGAGAGAGACTTCCAGGATTTTGAACGAGCAACTTTGAAGGAGCATTGATATATTTCCAAGTCAGAATGGTGAGTGGCTTGGAGATTACTTGCAGAAGGTGGTGTTCCAAGCAGCTGCTGCTCCTATCCTTCTCGATGGAAATGATTGTGCATTTGGAAGGTGTTGTCTGAGGATCTTTGGTGAATTTTGGCAGTACATCTTTGATTTTTTTATGATTAGAAGCCAATATTAAATGTGATTAGAATCTTGCCTTTGAAGTAGAGTTAAAAAGATAATTCAGAAAATAGAAAGCAGAACAGGAAAGATGCTAATTTACAGACATCTTGGCATTTTGTTGGTTTTGTGGAGACTTCCTGCAGCTAAAACCTAAAGGTAAATTTTGAAGCTTCTATGCCAAGAACAGAGGGACATTAGTGAAAGCAACACAATGATGAATTTGCAGAACAGCACGTGTTTAAGTGAGATGAGCTTTGTTCAGATAAAATGTGACTGGGCACAAGGCACACAACCACCCCTCACCCCATACGTCAGAAAATGCTGAATGTCAATCCAGGCTGGGAGCCATTAGATGGATGTGCAATGGATGAAGTCAACATGCAATGAGTGGTCGAAGCAATAACAGTGCACAGGGTGGGGAAGTTCTGGCAGTGATGGGAAGTGTTCGTTCTGAAGGAGTCTCATCTGAAACGGTGACAATTCATTCATGATTTTCCTATGATCACCTGTTATGTGAGTTTGTAAAACAAACATCCCCAATTTAGGAAGGAATGTAAGCTTTAGAAAGAACACCAATTTTGTTTTATTTATTTATTTATTCTTGACATCCTTTGCTGTCCAGTCCAGCATTTATATCCCATCCCTAATTGCCCTGGACAATGTGACAGTGAGGTGCCTTCTTGAACTGCTGTCATCCTTGAGGTATAGACAAACATACGTTGCTGTGAAGCAGGTTCAGGATTTTCACCTCGTGATACTGATGGAATGATGATATAGTTCCAGTCAGGATAGTGTGCAACTTAATGGAGAACTCAAAGGGTGCTGTCCCCATGTACCTGCTTCTAAGTGGTAGAGATTGTGGTTTAGGGAAGTGATGTTGAATGAACCTGGGGAATTTGCTTCAGTGCATGTTGATGTTGGTACAAACTGTTGCTGTTGTCCACCCGTGGTGAAGGAAGAGAATGTTGAAGGTCACCATTGCAGTTAGAATCATAGAATTGCTACAGTGCACAAGGAAGCCGTTTGACCATTGTGTCTACACCGGCTTTCGGAATGAGAATCTCACCCAGTGCCATGCTCCTGCTTTTTCTGTCTCTAAACTTGTACATTGTTCCTTTATAGCTAACAATCTAATTCCCTTGTTGAATATCATGATTCGTGTACTCAGATTACAGTACAGTCTGCTTTGTCCTGGATGGAGTTGTATATCTTTGCATATTTGGAGTTGTCCTAATCCAGGCAAGTGGGGAGTATTCTATCACATTTCGGACTTGTACCTCGCAGGCTTTGAGGAGTTGCTGCATATTTCCTAGCCTCTGACCTCTAAAAGTCACAGCTGGCCCAGTTCAGGATCTGGCTGATGAAAACGACAAGATGTTGATAGTGGGGGGATTCAATGATAAAATGCCCTTGAATTTCAATGCAAGAAGTTTAGATTCTCTCCTGTTGTAGATGATCATTTCCTGCCAATTGCTTGTAATCAGTCCAAAATTGGATCTTGTCATAGTCTTGCTCCATATGAATATTGGCCATTTTAGTGACTGAGCAGAAGTGAATAGTGTTGAACATTGTACAATCATCAGGAAATAACCCCATTTCTGACCTTCTAATATCAGCATGGTCATTGATAAAGTAGCTGAAGATGTTTGGGCCTTACACATCACCCAGAGGAATTCCTGCAATCATGTCCTAGGGCTGAGATGATTGGACTCCATAACTATCACTCTTTGTGCTAAGAATGGCTCCAATCAGTGGAATCTTTTCACATTGATTCCAATTTTCTCCTTGATGTGACATTTCATCTAATGTTGCCTTGATGTCACGGCCAGCTCTCTCCCAGTACGATGACACTTGTGTCCAGTGAGTTGAGATGAGTGTTTGCACTCAGTCCTATAGTAAGAATACCTGAATGATCCCTCCCTAGTGTAAACACGTTGGTGTGTCAAGGGATATGTTAACTGTGTGTCACTTTTCTTGCAGTCAGAGCAAGTGAAGTCCCTCGGTGTGACTGTGTGGGTGAATTCCAAGTTCAGATTCCTCATGTTTCCATGGTTTCCCACCTTTGTCAGTGTATTCATGTTCTGGTAGGCCTGGTGATCGGCTGAATCCTTGTCCACACATAGTATACATTACAGCTTCTCCTCAATAGGCGCAATGAATTTTCCTTGCATGTTCAAAATTCAGGAACATTCAGGGCACTAGAAATTGGCTGATTGTCAGATTTTGAGGTGCTATTTGGGTTGAGTTCCCCAAGAGCAGATCCAATCATAGAATCCCTACAGTGCATAAGGACGCTATTCGGCCCATCAAGTCGCACCAACCCGCTGAGCAGCATCCTACCCACACTCACCATTCCCCCCACTCTATTTCCCACAACGTTACATTTCCGGTGGTTAATCCATCTAATTTACACAGACTCGGACAGTGTGGATTTAGTATGGGCAATCCACCTAACCTGCAGACACAGGGTGAATGTGCAAACTCCACGCAGACAGGCACTCAAGGGCGGAATCGAACCTTCTCCTGGGCATCGTGAGGAAGCCAAGCAAACCACTGAAACATCGTGCCGCCCGTAAATCCTTCTAATATCCTGTGCAATATGTTAATCTGATTTTTTAAAAAACAGACGTGTGTGGGAGAACACACAGAAGCTGAATGAAACTGGAAAAATTGTGGGGCTGGTATGAGGAGAAAGTTGTCATGAAAGCTGCTGAATTGTCCCAGGAACGTGCGCCGTTCACCCCCATTGGTTGGAGGACCAGCCGCTCCAGCTCGGTCCTCCAGTCCCGCCCCTCATTCCCTTCCCATTGTTTGGAGAACCCGCCGCACCTGCACCTTCAGCCCGTCCCTCGCTCACTCCCATTGGCTAGAGGACCAGCTGCACCAGGTCGGTCCTCCAGCCCCGCCCCTCATTCCCTTCTCATTGGTTGGAGAACCAGTCGCACCTGCTCCGTCAACCGGCCCGCCCCTCACTCACTCCCATTGGTTGGACTAATTGATGGTCTTGTCCGCTGCCCCAACAATGATGTGGACGTGCCAGAGTTGGACCGGGGTGGACAAGGTCAAAAACCACATGACACCAGGTTCGAGTCTAACAGGTTTATTCGAAAACACAAAGTTTCGGAGTCTCTCTCCTTCTGCAGGTACGCTTGAAAGAGGAAGCAAAAAGACACGGAATTTTAAGTAAAATACCGCAGATTGAGCGGTTTCCGGCTCTCATGGAGTTGTGGGTCGTCTGGAAGACATGAGAGAGAATATCGGCAGTATTTGGCGTCTGAATTTGGAAACGGATGAAGGGTCTAGGCCCGAAACGTCAGCCTCTCTGCTCCTATGATGCTGCTTGGCCTGCTGTGTTCATCCAGCCCTGCACCTTGTTGTCTCGAATGGGGATGGAATTGGTTGGTTATGCTGGGAGACAGGGACAACAGCGAAAGGTGGGAATCACGGGATAAAGACACGTGACTGGGTCAGGGAATGGGGACAGCACAGCGAGACTACCTGAGGTACTCGCCTCGGACTGTCTCTCTACTGGGCAGGGCTGGGTTAAGTGTCACGAAGCTGCAAGTTGAAAGGTTCTACTGTGAACTGGGCGGGTCTGAGGTTGTGACTGACAGGTCGGGTGTGTCTGTCAGACCAGGAACAGCCTCTGGTCTGCCTTTTCTTCGTGAATGTTTCACTGGAGTCGAGTTGGTGAGTGTTTAGAACTCTGCCTGTAGCCCGGTGAACAGTAGGTCACTGTGTGTAGATCATATCGCCAACCCTCTCTCTTCCCCTTTCTCCCAGTCCCAATTACACGCTGCTGGCTCCGGGGGCTCTGGCGGATGCGGGACTGCAGTCAGTATCGGCGCTGGTTTGGCTGCACGGAAGGCGTTTTAGTTTCTGGGGATAATGACAGATCATTCTGCCCAGCAGGACAGAACCTAATCTATCAGCAGGGAACCACTCCATCCTCAGAGACTGGGGTTAGTTCCTTTCGAGCAGAATAGACTGAGGAAGTGTCAGCGGACCCGAAACGTTATCTCTGAGACAACAAGGTGCAGAGCTGGATGAACACAGCAGGCCAAGCAGTATCATCGGAGCAGAAATTTGGCCTGCTGTGTTCATCCAGCTCTGCACCTTGTTGTCTCGGATTCTCCAGCATCTGCAGTTCCTACTATCTCTGATTCAAAGTTATCTCTGACTTTTTTTCTTCACAGACGTGAAGAGTGTTTCCAGCAACTTCTGTTTTTGTTGTAGAGTGAGGGGGGACATGATTGAGATGCATAAATTTATCAGAGAATAGAGTAAACAAGAACGAATCTTTCTGCTTGGTGGTGGAATCAGTATTTGGGGACCTGGATTGATGGTAAGGGGCAGGAGGTTTCGATGAGATGTGAGGATTCCTTTTCACTCAGGTAGCGAGTGAATCTGAAACTTACTGCCGGGAGTCTGGTAGAGGTAGAAACCGTCATAACATTCCAGAAAGATTTCGATGTATAAAATAAACACCGTAAGAACTGCGGATGCTGTAAATCAGAAACAAAACAAAAATTGTTGACAAAGTTCTGCAGGTCTGGCAGCATCTGTGAAGAGAAATCAGAGTTAACTTTTCGGGTCGAGTTTCCCTTCCTTAGATCTATTCTCTCTGCGGATGCTGCCAGACGTGCAGAGTTTTTTCAGCAATTTCTGTTTAAATGTGATGCCATTACGGACAAGGCTTTGGGTAAAGTGCAGGAAATGGCACTTAAATAGTTAGAAGACTGTAGTTGACAGGCACAGATTCAATGGGCGGAAGGGCTTTTTTTTCTGTTGTGGACTCCGAAACTGGGTGAACGCTTCAGGTCGGTGAGCAAAGGGCACGGGGAGGGGGAGGGGGATGGTGAACAAAGGGAATGAGTGGGTGAAGGGCGGGAGAGCTTCACCGACAAAAGGTTTCATGTTGCGAAATCAAGAGGGTGATGGAGAAGTAAAGAAACAAAAGAAGTGTTTGGATGAGGTGTGAACGGGGCATTAGTAATCGCGAATGCAGTGTAAAGATAATCAGGGAGGTACATACAAAAAAACGAGCAGATGGAAACCATTTTGCCAAAGAAAAGGAATTTTCTTTTCACCCAGAGAGTGAGGAACCTGTGGAATTCGTTGCAACAGGAAGCGACTGAGCCCAGAACTTTCAATATTTTCTAGAAGGAGTTAGATATGTTTCCGAGGGCTGAAGGGGTGAAAGGATATGGAGATAAAACCGGAGCAGGATAATGAATAAGTGCAACAGCCATGTAGGGCCGCATGGCCTACACATGCAGTAGCAATGAATTAATGCAGACGCTGGAGTCTGTACTGAAAACAACAAATGCTGGAGATCACTGTGGGTCAGACAGCGTCATGCAATGTGGACAATGTGGAAACAGGCCATTTGGCTTAACAAGTCCACACTGCCCGTCCGAACAGCATACCACCCAGACCCATTGCCCTACCCCTGCATTGCCAATGTCTAACCAACCTAAACTAAACATCCCTGGACACAATGGGCAATTTAGTACAGCCAATTCACCTACTCTGCACATCTTTAGACTGTGGGAGAAAACCGGGGAAATGATGAGAGTGGGAAAAGATGTGTAGATAGTTTGGGTCAAGTTGAGATCAAAAGGGAGGAGATATTGGGAGTCTTGAAAAACCTTAATGTAGATAAGTCCCCAGGGCCTGTTGGGATATTCCCCAGAATGCTGAGAGAGGCAAGGGAGGATATGGTTGGGGCCTTGAAGGAAATCTTTGTATCCTCACTGGGTACAGGGGAGGTCCCAGCGGATTGGAGAATAGCCAGTGTTGTTCCTTTGTTGAAGAAAGGTGGTAGGGATAATCCAGCAAATTACAGGCCGGTGAGCCTTACATAAGTGGTAGGGAAATTATTGGGGAGGATTCTTCGAGACAGGATTTACTCCCACCTGGAAATCAGTGGGTGTACTAGTGAGAGGGAACATGGTTTTGTGAAGGGGAGGTCGTGTATCACTAACTTGCTTGAGTTTTTTGATGAAGTGACGAAGATGATCGATGTAGGTAGGGCAGTGGATGTTGTCTATATGGATTTCAGTAAGGCCTTTGACAAGGTCCCTCATGGCAGGCTGATACAGAAGGTAAACTCGCACAGGGTCAGAGGTGAGCCTGCAAGATGGATAAAAAACTAGCTCGGTCATAGAAGACAGAGGGTAGCAGTGGAAGTGTGCATTTCTGAATGGAGGGCTGTGACTAGTGGTATCCCTCAGGGATCAGTGATGGGACCTTTGCTACTTGTAATATATATAAAGGATTTGGAGGAGTATATAACTGGTCTGATTAGTAAGTTTGCCAATGACACAAAGGTTGGTGGAATTGTGAATAGCGATGAGGACCGTCAAAGGATTCAGCAGGATATAGATCAGTTGGTGACTTGGGCAGAGAGATGGCAGATGGAGTTTAATCCAGAAAAAATGTGAGGTAATGCTTTTTGGAAGGTTTAATGCAGATGGAAAATATACAGTAAATGGCAGAACCCTTAAGAGTACTGAAAGGCAGAGGGATCTGGACGTACAGGTACACAGGTCACTGAAAGTGCAACGCAGGTGGAAAAGATAGTCAACAAGGCATATGGCATGCATGCTTTCATTGGCTGAGTTTAAAAAATGGCAGGTAATGTTGCAGCTTTATAGAACCGTAGTTAGGCCGCATTTGAAATTCTGGTTACCACACTACCAGAAGGATGTGGTGGCTTTGGAGAGAGTACAGAAAAGATTTATCAGGATGTTGCCTGGTATGGAGGGCATTAGCTATGAGGAGAGGTTGGAGAAACATGGGTTGTTCTCACTGGGACGATGGAGGTTGAGGGGTGACATGATTGAGGCCTACAGGATTATGAAGGGCATGGACAGAGCGGACAGTCAGAAGCTTTTTGCCAGTGTGGAAGAGTCAGATACCGGGGTCTTGGGTTTAAAGTGCAAGGGGCAAAGTTTAAAGGTGATGTACGAGGCAAGTTTTTTTTACGCAGAGAGGGTGGAGGGTGCCTGGAACTCGCTGCATGGGGAGGTAGTGGAAGCACATACTACAGTGACTTTTAAAGGGTGTCTTGACAAATATATGAATAGGATGGGAATAGAGGGCCCTTCTTCATTTTCTGAAGAAGGGTCTGGACCCGAAACATCAGCTTTTCTGCTCCTCTGATGCTGCCTGGCCTGCTGTGTTCATCCAGCTCTACACCTTGTTATCTCAGATTCTCCAGCATCGGCAGTTCCTACTATCTCTGGGAATAGAGGGATATGGTCCCTGGAAGGGTAGGGGGTATTAGTTGTGATGGGCAGCATGTCAGTGCAGGCCGGAAGGGCCGAAGGGCCTGTTCCTGCACTGCAATTTTCTTTGTTCTTTGTTATATTATGTCACAAGACTCATCACTGAGGAACATAAAGCCAATGAGCACGAGCTTTTTAAAGATGTAAGCTTGAAGGACAATCTTGAGAAGGAAAGAGAGTCAGTGAGGTATATGGAGAGAATTGCAGACCATCCGGCCTTAGGTCTAGGTCAGTAATATATCAAAAGAACGATTCAGATGCTGCTTAACCTGATGAGTGTTTCAACATTTTCTGTCTTACTTCAGATTTACAATATTTTTGCTTTGCACTTGTTCTTAGGAATCAAAGTGTTTGGGGAGAAAATGGGAACAGTCAAGTTGTCAGTACTTTATCACCCAGCTCCGCCTCCCATTTATAGTTTGTGCAAACATTGATTTTTTAATGTTGGGTTTTAATGATAATCCAACAGTTTAGATCATAGTTTTTCTCTCCAAGTATTGGCTTCACGAATAGTCAGGTGAATTTCTCTCAATTTCACAACCTGTGTGTGTTATTCTGCTTTCTTTCTCTCTCAACTGTTTTTATTTCCTGTTTGAAAGGTTGATTTGTCATTGAAGGATTCAGATGAAACCACATCCAGCTTTGACAGTCATTCTGTTTATCGGAACCTGTTTATCAAAGGATTTTGAAGAGGAAACAGCAGCATTCACACTGGACAGAAACATGCCTATACTGTATGTGTAAAAGTCTGTAAGCATTTATCTAAAATGTCAAAACACCAGCGCAATTGCACTAGGGAGAGACTGTGGAAAAATGTGGACTGCCTGAAGGGAACTCTTTCCCCATTCCAACTGGAAATTCACCAAAGCAGTAACAATAGGAAGAAGCTGTTCACCTGTTCTGAATGTGGAAAGGGATTCACTCGGTCATCCCACTTGCTGAGACACCAGCGAGTTCACACTGAAGAGAGACCGTTCACTTGCATCATGTGTGGGAATGGATTCACAGAGTCATAGGAACTGCTAACACACCAGCGAATTCACACTTGGGAGAAACCATTCACATGCTCCGAGTGTGGGAAGGGATTCACTTGTCATCCAACATGTTAACACACCAGGGAGTTCACAGTGGGGAGAAGCCATTCATTTGCTCTTTGTGTGGGAAGGGATTCACTCGGTCATCCCACTTGCTGGTTCACCAGTGAGGTCACACTGGGGAGAGACCGTTCACTTGCTCTGTGTGTGGGAAGGGATTCACATGGTTATATGAACCGTAGACACACCAGCGAGTTCACACTGGGGAGAAACCATTCACGTGCTCCGAGTTTGGGAAGGAATTCATTCAGTCGTTCCGCTTGCTGAGACAACAGTGAACTCACACAGTGTAGAAACCATTCACTTGCTCTCTGTGTGGGAAGGGATTCATTCAGGCATCCATCCGATGAATACAGCAGCAAGTTCGCACTGGAGAGAGACCCTTCAACTGTTATGTATGTGGGAAGGCATTCACACATTCACCCAACCTGCAGGTACACTAGCGACTTCACACTGGAAAGAAATCATTCACTTGCTCTGTGTGTGGGAAGGGATTCAGTCAGTCATCCAACCTGCTGAGACACCAGTGAATTCACCAATAAATACAGTTGAAGGATTTTGTTTCTCTTATTCACATCATGGAACGAGCAATGGTCTTGGGCAGTTGAAATGTTAATAAAATTGTCTATCTGGAGGATTTGGTTTCGAAAATGATCATATCATTGAACGTGCACACATTCACATTGGATAGAGACCGTCCATCTGCACAGTATGTGGACAGGGATTTTCTGGTTCATCAGGACTGGTTAATCATATTTTCTGGGGTCTGTTTCCATGAGTCTCGTTATCTTTTGGGGATAAAAAACACAGTATCGAATAGCTTTCACTTAAATGCATGATGATCAATATATGATATTAATTTCAATATCTCAGATATTAGTTTCTTTTGAAGGGTTCTCCATCTTACCTACCTCCTCCATCCTCACCTTCAACAAGTTTGATGATCTCATGAAATCTCTTTGTGACTAAGAATGAGACAATCTGATCAGCTGCCTCTGCTGCTTCCTTCCCTACCGCTATGTCAAGCTGTCTCTTAAACTCACCTTGCTGCAGTTGTGATCCTGCATCATTGTACAGTCTTGGCCTGTCATTGCATGTAGCTTATTGCATATAGGGCCTACAGTGTATGAGGTTAGCTCTTTCCTTCCAGCAACAGCAGTAGAATTGCGCTCTAACAAAATTTGCAAAATCATGGCCTGGCATAATCCCCAACTTGCCTATTACCATCAAGCCAGAGAATCAAAGCTGGCTCAATCGAGAATTCAGGAGGGCATGTCAAGAACTGCAGCATGAATAGCTAAAAATGAGATGATGTGGAGGTGCCGGAGGTGGACTAGGTTGGACAAGGTCAGAACTCAGATGACACCAGGTTATCGTCCAACAGGTTTATTTGAGATCACAAGCATTTGGAGCATTGCCCCTTTGTCAGGTGAAGCGAAAAATGAGATGTTAACCTGTTGAATTTACCAAAGAGGACTACTTGCATGCTAAACATCAGAAGCAGCAAATTTGATGAAAAACAGGACAGATCTAGGATGTGCAGTCCAGCCACATCCAATTATGAATGGTGGTAGACAATTGGAGAACTTACTGGAGGAGGAGGCTCAACAAATATCCCCATCCTCAATGATGGAGCACAGCACATCAGTGCAAATGATATGCCTAAACCATGCACAACAACCTTCACCCAAAAGTGCTGAGTGGGTGATTCATATCAGCTTCCCCAGCATTACAAATGCCAGTTTTCAGCCAATTCAATTCACTCCACATGATCTCATGAAATGGCTGGAGGCAGTGGATACTGTCCTCACAACATTCTGGCAATAGTACTGTAGACTTGTGGTCCAGAATTTGCTGCTCCCCAGGCCAATCTGTTGCAGTGCAGTTACAACACTGGCATCTACACAACAATGTGAAACATTGCTCAGGTATGCCCTTCGCATATAAAACAGGACAAATCCAATGTTCCCCATTATTACCTCATCAGTCTGCCTCTTGATCATTACCATACTAATGGAACATGTCATCAATAGTGCTCACAAGCAACGCTTGTTTAGCAATAACATGCTTACTGATGCCCAGTTTGGATTCCATTAGGGCTGGTCAGTTCCTGACCACGTTACAGCCTTGGTTCAACCATGGACAAAAGAGCTGAATTCCAGAAGTCGGGTGAGAGTGACAGCCCTTGACATCAAGATTGCATTTGATTGAGTTTGGCATCAAACATCCCGAGAATAACGAATTAATGGAAAGTGCGGGAGTGTTCTTTGCTTATTGAAGTCATACCTGGCACAGAGGAAGATGGTTGTCATTGTTGAAGGTCAGTCGTCTAATCATCTTCAGTTGCCTCGTCAATGACGTTCCCTCCATTATAAGATCGGAAGTGGGGTTGTTCACTAATGATTACACAATGATTACCAGAGTTTGTGACTTCTCATGTACTGAAGCAGTTTGTGTTCAAATGCAACAAGACCAGGTCAATATCAAGTGTCGAGTAACATTCACGCTGCACAAATGCCAGGCAATGACATTCTCCAACAAGGGACAATCTAACCATCAACCTTTAGTATTGAATGTGGTTAGCATTAGTGAATTCCCTCGTGTTAATATCCTCGGGAATTCTATTGACAAGAAACCCAAATGGATTCGCCATTCAACTACAGCAGCCATAATAAGAGGTCAGAGGCGAGGAATACAACAGCAACTAACTCACTCCCAACTCCCCATCATCTAAAAAGCAGAAGGTAGGAGTGTGATGGAATACTCCCCGCTTGCCTGGATGGGTGTGGTTCCCACAACCTCTGGCTCGAGTCTGCAGCTGGTTGCCCTGGAAACCTTGGCTCGAGGTGGGGAAAGGGACCAATGGGTGGGGGCGGGGCTGCTGTATCCGCGCTTCTGACCGGCTGCCTGGAAACCGGGAACATCACCGCCGAGCCTAGCGATTCCTATTGGCTGCTTCAGGCAGACCCCACCCTCTACTGTGTGACGTCACAACGGAAGTTTTCCGATGAGGTTCAGTGAAAGTTTCTCACTGCAACCTCTGCGAGCAAAACAATATCTCCCTCTTTCCATTTCTTTTCCCATCCTGGGAGAGAGCGAGACAAAGAAAGATACTGTTCATTTGCAACAATTAAAGTGAGTGGATTTGAATCCAGGGAAGGAGCATACTCTGCAGCGGTTACTTCAGGTATGTCACTCTTAAATTTATTGTCATTATTTGCTATCTCAGCTTCACACATTTGTTTCCCTGGCTAAAAGGGTTGCCTCGTTCCTCATGATCATGATTATTGGATTTCTATCAGAGATGGTCAGGATTTGAGGGGCAATAAATTGAAAATAATGCGTTGTATATGACACAGATGTAGAATCCAATTATGTATGCATATATGTTCAGGGTGGGCGCCAGGATGAAGATTTTCACATGTTTATATCCTGGACAGCAAATAGTAAGTAGCTCAGAGACAGTAAGAACTGCAGATGCTGGAGTCAGAGATAACAACGTGTGGAGCTGGAGGAAACGTCAACTTTCCTCCTTGTCTGATGCTGCCTGGCCTGCTGTGTTCCTCCAGGTCCACACGGTGTTACACAATGGAGAGAGGCCATTCACCTCCTGTCCATGTGTCAAGGGTTTCGTTCATTCATCTGCCCTACTGACACGTCAGCTTATTCACACTGAGGAGAGACCGTTCACCTGCTCCAAGTGTCAGAAGGAATTGAGTTAGTCAGGCCACCTTCTGTGACACTATCATGTTCACAGTGGGGAGAGACTGTTCACCTGCTCTGTGAGAAGGGATTCAGTTAGTCACGCCACTTTCTGTTGCACTATCGTGTTCATATTGGGAAGAGGCTTTTCACCTGCTGTCAGTGTGGAAAAGGTTTCAGTGATCCATACATGCTGCAGAGACACTAACGGGTTTACCACTGGGGAGAAGCCATTCACTTGCCCAAGTGTTGGAAGGGATTCAGTCATTCATCTGCCCTGCTCACACATTGGTGAGTTCACAAGTGACTCCAGGTTTTGGATTCTGCTGTTATTGCTGCTGCAAATCACATCCAGGACTGAGTCATGTTCATTCTGACAATGGGTGAAGCGGCAGGGTCGGAGGGTTACTTTTTACTGGACTTACCACACTTAACACTTTGGTTCCAGTGAGGCTGGTGTTCCCTGATCCTGGGACTGTGCATTCCTACTGAAATAATTACCAAAAGCTGATGGAGCACAGCTACTTTATCCTGGATATCAAATCATGTTCTTTCTCTTTCACTGCAGGTGGATTCTCAGTAAATACCTGCCTCAGTTCTATTGATTCTGCAGCACAGGGCCATGTGTATTGGCTCAATTAGTCCCTGTCAGTGTTTATGTTCTATATGAGCTTCCACCCACCTCTCTTCATTTCTCTCCTCCCTCTACCTACCAGCATATCCGTCTGTTCCAGAAGCTGCCAAACAGTGGCGCAGGGTGAGCTGTTCCACTGCATCTACTGGCCCCACTCGAACCTGACTGGTCCAGCCTGATTGCTGTGGTTCACCAAAGGCCAGTGAGGGAGCGAGGGACAGGGAGGGAGCGAGGGACGGGAGTGAGGGACAGGAGCAAGAGACGGGGAGGGAGCGAGGGACAGGGAGGAAGGGAGAAAGGGAGTGGGGAGGAAGAGAGTGGGGAGCGTTGCAGGGTGGGAGGGAGTGAGGCAGTGAGGGATGGCGAGGGAGCGAGGGGGGAGCGAGGAGGGATCAAGGAGAGACCGAGGAGCGGAGGGAGGGCGCGATGGATGAGGAGAGAGAGGGAGCGAGGGACGGAGCGAGGGAGCGAGGGGCTGGGAGGGAGTGAGGGGAAAGTGAGGCAGGAGCGAGGGGCGGGGAGAGAGCGAGGGACGGGGTGGGTGCGAGGGAGAGGGAGGGAGCGACAGGGACAGGGAGCGAGGGACAGGGACACGGAGGGAGCGAGGGACAGTGAGGGGGACAGGGAAAGAGTGGCAGGGAGGGAGCGAGGGGCAGGGAGGGAGCGAGGGGCAGGGAGGGAGTGAGGGACAGGGAGGGAGAGAGGGATGGAGAAGGAGCGAGGGACAGGGAGGGGGACGGGGAGGGAGCGAGGGACAGGAGCGAGGCAGCGAGGAACGGGGAGGGAGCGAGGGATGGGGCGGGAGCGAGGGAGCGACGGACGGGGAGAGAAGAAGCAAGGGATGGGGCGGGTGGGAGGGAGGGAGGGAGGGAGGGAGAGAACGAGCAACAGGGAGGGAGGGAGAGCGCGAGCAACAGGGACAGACGGAGGGAGGGAGCGAGAGAGAGAGAGCGACAGAGAGTAAGGGAGAGAGACAGAGCGGCAGGGGCCGGGGATGGGGGCCAGGCAGCCACATACAGGGCGGGGGGACAGGGGGATGGGGGAATAGGGATCCAGGAGGTTACAGAGATAAGTGAAGGACTCGAAAGGAGAGAGGAGGACAAGGACGACGGGGCAGAGAGAGAGACAGAGAGATGAAGTGGGTCAGAGATAGAGAGGTAGAGACAAGGAAACAGGGGCAGAGTGAGAGGTGAGAGCGAGAGGGGAGGAGAGAGACAAAGGGTACAGAGGGGGATGGGGAGTGAGAACAAGAGGGGTAGGGGGACGGAGAGAGGGAAAGAGTGTGATAGGGAATTAGG